GTGTATGACTCCCTGTATGTCCCCACTGTGTTACACTAGGGATGAATCTGTCCTGCTCTACAGAGATCCTAGTGAGGTATCAGGTATGCAGGTATTAGCTGCATTCCCATGGTAAACAGGCTTTTGTGTACCTGCTCTTTGGAGTCCTATCAGGGTCTCCTTGTGACCACCAGCACTTGTCAGCCTGGGCTCCAATGGCAGAGGAACCCTTCCACACACAGCTTCAGAATGCGTAAAGCATTGCCCCTTCACCCAGATGGTGTTAAAAGCAACTAATTTAACCCAAAATGCACCTGGGACTGAGGGAGGTATCATTTTCCCACAACGACTGCAGTGAGAAAGGGGCACTCAAAGAGGCTGTGCTCACCCAGCACCACCCAGCATCTTTCAGCTCTCACCAACCCAAACTTCCCGGGTCCCAGGCACGCTGCCAGTCACGCGGCCAACCCAGTCCTAGACCAAACAGCATCTCCCCATGGCATTACAGCTTCCCGGAGCTCAGCTGGGATTGCACAGGCCCTGATGTGACCAAAGCAGGAGGGAGGGCAGCGTTCAGCTGCAGGGACACCTCCCCAGCCCCCAGCCTGGGGCCTGCCTGCAGCATCGGCACTCATGCAGAAGTGAGTCTGCAGCCCTCTTCCCCGTCCCCGCTCAGCTATTAAATCTGCACCTCTGCAAACTCAGCTTGTGAGTGCTAATTCTCCACAGCACTGAAACCTGATCAGAAGAGATTTGCATGACCAGCCAGTAAAACCATGACTAAAAGTGCTTTTCCATTGCTGCTTCTGGCGAGGGCCCCCTCCTCCTGGCAGCTGTTGGGACAGGGAGATCGGGTTCTCTGGTATTGGCAAAACACTGCACGACTGCTTTCCAAACCACTCCGAGGAACAACTAAACCTACTCAGGCAGGCCAGAGTCATCATCCTCATATCTCCCAAACAGGACACAAGCTCAAACACCATTGAGAGAACAGTTTCACAAGCAGAATGTTTGACCAGGGTAGAAAGGAGCTTTTGTACCCAGATGCTTATCTAAGGATTCCTGCCAAGAGATAATGAGAGGCACAAGATCATGATCTCAGATAAATGCATCTGCTGTGAACAAGACCGCATAGTTTATTCCCATCATGCCTTGTTTTAAGTTATTCAAAATCAAAGCAAATTATTCTTATTAAGTGATTATGTCTCAGATGTTTTAAGTTCAGGATCATGATGGAGCAAAGACTTGCTTTGAGGTATGCGGTGGTGGCAGGCACACAGCAAGATCCCAGCGTCTCCAGAATGAAAAACAAGTCAGTGCTGATCTCTGGCAACCTCTTCCTCAGTCCTGGTATCTACAGTGCAAAAAGGATCCTGATGCTCGCTCCATGTGGACCCTGAGACACTGCTTCAGAGTACCCAGAAAATAGGAGGGAGCACTGCTGCCTCACTGCATGGGCCAGCTGGGAGATCAGTACCATGGGTGCCATGGGGAAGAAGTGTCTCTAGCGACCAGCCTCAGCCCGATAAACCTCCTGGCAACAGGAGTAGTATCACAATGTGCTTGATGCCTGACGGGGCTGAGACACTGTCCCATCTGCTCTCCATCTCCACGAAGCACCATACTCTTCTCTTTGCTGTGTTCAAGGTTGTTGCCATATTCCCTGTTCCAGCTGACTTTCTAACAAAGAGACACTTGGCTGCTACAAAATGTGCCTTATTGACCAGTATGGCATGGAGGAAGGTTGCCTCAAGAGGTTGTGCCATGCCCGGCACATCTTTCTAATCAGCTTTCTCTAACTTTCAGTGTAGAGTTCCCCTTTCTTCATTTTGCCCTATACTCCTTATATTTATCCCACTGTAAGACTACACGTTAGTCTGCTCAGGCATTTCCAGGTCAGGGTCACCACATGAATGCATTAAACAAATGAGGATTTCTACTGTCTTTAATAAACTCTCCTCATACACTGCTTACACCAGTGTTTTGATGATATTTGTTCTTTGGCCAGTCTTGACATTTGCCAGTATCTTCTCATAACAAGATAATCCAAACTGAACTCAGATTCTAGTCAAATCAGAAATGGATAGAGCTGGTACATCTCCCCCCTGCCTGTGACTACAGCACAAAATCACACTGGCATTTTTTTATTGCCTCATGGTTTTGCATATTTAGCTCTAATTTGCTGTACTCGCTCACCCCGTATCTCTTGCAGCCTTAAATTCTCCTTCTTATATGTTTGCTTTCATTTTTTCTCCTAGGATTCATTTTCTTTTTCCCCAGTTAGACCCTGCCATCGTTTATCTCCTCCCCGTGCTCCAACTGTGCCCACACACTGAGGTGGCTGAGCTCTGCAGAAGTAACTGGATGCAGGCTAATCCCATTAAGGGCCCTCCAGTCACCTGGGGGTTTTCAGTTTTCTGTGCTATTTTCATTTCATCTTCAAATCCCACTCCCTTGCAACTTTAGATCATTAAGGGGTTAAGTGAGATATATCCAGTAAATGAGATAAAACCAAATAAAGAGATTTGGGTCTCCCTGTTCAGCGTGTTACTGTGTCTCATTGCCTTTTCTATCAGTGTTTCAACGTTTTCCAAACACACCCAGACAAGGGCTCTTGCCAGAACCCATCTGGATTAAACTGGGTCTCAGCTGCAAATAGCATGCAGTGGCTGGAAGGGTTAGTGAAAAGATCCTGCAAAAATCACTCACAATAAGTATTTGCTTATGGCTCCTTGCAAAGTGGAGAGAAAATGCTATCATCTAAAACGTTGATTCTCCTGCCTTCAGATCTCATTTCAGATTTTTTTCGGAACATGAATTTTTATCATCTCTTCCCTGAAATACCCAGACAGGGAAGCCTGCCACCCTGGACGCTACTCTTCATTTTTAATCCTGGTAAAAATGGAGAAATGAGACCTTGATGGTCAGCCTTCCTAGCCCCTCCAAGAGCATCTTCTCCTTTTTTCAGGCTGCAGAGGCAGGAGGAAGCAGCAGAAGCCCAGCCCCGTGGTCCCCAGTCCCAGCAGCGTGAGGCCAGAGTCAGGGGAAGGGCAATCAGCTCCTTCTGTTCCCATGGGCAACACACTGCACCCCCTGTCTGCAACGAGCATTTCTGGGAGGAGGACATCACCTCCAGATTCCCCCTGGGGCCATCCGGGTATGTATGTACCCCTTTTCAGGGCAAGAGCCCCCACACCACATTTTGGCCATTTGAGAAATGCATTACTAAGATCCAGATCCGCTCTGCCTGATGCCTTCATATGCTGACTATGGCATTTGCTGTACAGCCGTGTGGTACCTTGAAGGCACTGTCTTCAGAGTGTTTGTGTGTGTAGAAATGGATTTTTTGTAGATTTTACAGTCAGAAAGAACCATTTCAACCTTCCCATGTAACCCTTTGTAGAGACTTAAGAACATCATCTGGAAATTTCCACCCTTCAGGCCCACAACCTCTGCTTGAAGAAGATCATAACTTTAAAAAAGATGCTCAGTCTGGAGTAAAGATTGTAATAAATGATGAAACCATCCTATCCTGAGGTGAGTTATTCCTGTAATTACTTAATTGCTCACCCTGGGCTTTCAGCCTCTTCATCATACAATTTAACCTCTATTCCACGTTTCACGGTTTTATTCCCTTCTCTATATTTCCTCTGCTGCTTCTATTATCCCACTTAATGTGCAGCACCAATACTGCACTCAGTAGCACATCTATAATATGTGCCTTAGTTTTACTTCAGTGTTTTGACAGCCAGTTTCCCCCTCCACATCCTTACGAGAAACCTAACAATCTAGCATGGCTTTGCATTTTATATTAAATAAGCCATTTGTAAAGGTGCAAAAGATGATTGGAAGATACTCTGATAAATGGGTTAATCCATAGCCATAAAGTTGAGCTGTTCAACAGGTCACTCTAGTCATTTATAATCTTTCCGCTGCTGTATCTATAGTTATTTATAATTCATACTTCTCGTGATGATAATGAGCTTATATAGTGTGCCCCTCATCCAAGCGTGCAGTTTGCTACTTGCTGCTATTCATCAAGTTCTGCCGTTGGGCTCCTTTGATTCATTGGTCTCTGGACACAGATGAAGGGATGGCAATCTCAATTGAATGTTGCCCCAACGGAGAGGTTCGACTATTAATAAATAATCACTCACATTAGGAGGCGATCAGTTAACCGACAGTCCTTTTTTTCATGCCATTTTTGCTTCCCACTGCCCATTTTCTCTCCTCTCCTCTCCTCTCGCTTGTGTGAGGTCCTCAGACATGGCTTGGAGGACGAGCACTTTGGTAGGACCTCCGCTGGATGCTGCCAAGGTGCCATCTCTGCCCAGTCTCATCGGTCCTTTGCAAACCTCAGCGCCAGGTGGGGCCATGTGCCCCACACTTCTGGTCCCAACCCTGGGTCCCCAGGGGGGAAAAGATGGTGCCAGGGTGACCTGTCAGCATCCCACCGTCAGGGAGGCCTGACGGACAGAGATCAAAGGTCGGGGGGGAGAGGTGGTTTGGGGGTTGTGGATGTGACCCCTTTAAAGCAGGCACGGCCTGACCTCCAGCTGGAGAAGCCGAGACCCGTCTTCAGGAATCAGAGTAATCCTGGGTGATTTTATCCCACTCCACTTCCCTAAATCTGTGGCTGCTGCTGCTCGGCGAGGGGATTAAGGGGCTGGCGGGGGATTACGTAGTCATTGCGGCTCCCAGCACGGAGCTCCCTCCTGGCGCAGCCGCTCCTCGGGGCGCAGAGACGCACCACACCCGTGGGTGCCCGCAGACGAGGGTCCCCCGTGGGTTTTTGGCTGCCTGCCCGGCGCCAGAGACCCCTGACGGCACCTGGCAGCAGAAGCGACGTCCCCAGGGAAGAGGCAGCCGGGGTCATCCCGGGGCTCAGCCCCGCAGCAGCAGGGCACCCAGCCCGGCAGCATGGCGGGGGCCGCATGGGACCCCCCCCGGGGCAGCAGGAAAGGCGGGGAGCCCCCGCATGCTGCCGGCTGGTCCCCTTGCTGATGGTTGGCGCGTGGAGGATGGGGCCCAGGGCCGTCCCGTGGATGATGCTCTGGCTCTTCTGCCTCCTGCCCTCCACCAGGGCTCAGATGAAGATCCCACTGGAGACGTAAGTGTTTCCCTCTCTCTGGCGTGGGGCGTTTCTGGCATGGAGAGGGCAATGCCGTGGGCAGGGGCGGGGGGGTGGGAGTGCCTCCCTGGTGGTGGCCTCTGGCAGGGCACGTTGCAGCAGGGGGGCTGGCGTTTCCTTATGATGGTGGCGATGGCAGCAATGGCTCCTGGAAGAGGACATGGGCACAGGAGCCACAAATTCAGTTCCCAGGTCTAGCGCAGATGCAATGCCTCATTTTCCCTGTTCGTCAAGTAGAGCAACGATACTCATCTGCTTTAGTTAAGCACTTTGACATCTATTAATGCTCTGCTTAATGCACTGGGGGCTGGCGTTTCCTTATGATGGTGGCGATGGCAGCAATGGCTCCTGGAAGAGGACATGGGCACAGGAGCCACAAATTCAGTTCCCAGGTCTAGCGCAGATGCAATGCCTCATTTTCCCTGTTCGTCAAGTAGAGCAACGATACTCATCTGCTTTAGTTAAGCACTTTGACATCTATTAATGCTCTGCTTAATGCACTGGGCAGCAGAAGGCAAAACCAGTTTAAAGACACATTCGTAAAACCCCACCGCTGGTGCAACTTGTGGAGATACAGCCATGGAGGCAGACATCAGCGGCCCCAGTTTAGCAGCTCCCCAGTTTAGCAGAGTGGTTCCAGCAGACGCTGTTGGTTTGCAGCCTGCCAGGGACACCCCAGGGGTGCACAGCACTGGTCAGGATCTGGCCATGGGAGGCATATGCACAGGTGTTTGAGCAAAGAGGCATCTCTTGAACACACACGAGATCCAGATCGTGCAGTGCAAGGTTTGCAGCTCTGAAGCTCTGATCCCTTGCAGTGGTCTGGTAAACTCACGGCTGAAGAAAGCCTTTGTGCGCACATATACAGTCTCGGTAATACATACACGCATGTTTATTCATGTGTGCAGATGTCAGGGGATGTTAGTGGGGGAGGCTAAATAAAGGAAAGAGGCCACGGGACCTTTTCTTGCTTGTTCCTGCTCGACCTTACTACAAAGGGCGTAGTAGCCCTTCCCAGAGCTCTGGAGCATAGGAATGAAAAGCTGAGCTGCCATACAAAGCATAAACAGCCGTGTTTTGTGCATGCGCCGTCCGGGTCCAGATTTGGGTCCAGGTGCTAGTGCACATGCAGGGAATCTTGACACACCTTTTTGGATGTGGGTTTGCAGGGTACCCACACCCGCATGCGTGTTGGTGTGGACGAGCAGCTCCTCCAGCATGGTCGCTGCTGGAAAGCTCCCCGCCAGCAGTGCAGCCCTCCCCGGCAGCGCGCCAGGAGGCTAACAGCTCTCAGCAAACCCAGTTTATAAAAACTTCACCTTGTTAAGCTGATTTAGGCAAGTTAAATCCTTTAAGGATTAAAAATGTCAGCACCATGGTTGGTAAAAGTTGTTGTGGGGCAGCTTCTCTGGAGCTGAGATAGGTCTGTCTGTGCAGGATAGCAGGTTGGTCTGGAGAGGAGACAACACTGCAATCCAGTTTCAGGAGGAGATATGTCCGATAAACTCACAAAAGTCAGCTCGAGCCCTTTCCTGAGATTGAGAGAATGTTTTATATTCAAAAACTGACAATAAGACCCTTGCAGATGTGCTCACCAATACAGCCCACGTGATTACCAAGAGTTGCATTGACCTTATCCAGGGGGGTCTCAGGAAACTTTGCCACCAATTTTATTCTTGGCTGCACTGTCAAGCCCTTCCTCAGCAAAGTGCTTCTGACTTGGGTTTCACAAAAAGGACGCAGAGGTTACACAGAATAAAATCCAACTTCTGGTAATTCCAAACCGTGCAAAATAAAAATTGACTTTCTGTGCCCAGGGTAAATACCACATGGAAATACTTTTTGGCCTTGAGATCTGTGGCATTAAGAAGCCAACCCATCCTTTCTGCTGTTTTCACCACTGAATACAAGTGCAGGGATTACCAGCAGGCAATCTCTGACCAAATCCTTTTCTGATGTGTTTGGTTATAATGTGATAGCCCTTTACTATTGAGAGAAGAGTTACATCACTTTGCACAATTTGGAACTTATTCATGTACAAGAATAAAGAATAAACAATAGAAAAAGAGCTTTTCTCCCCTGGTACTGAAACCAGAACAACAGCTGAATTAATCCCTGGTGTTTCAAACCCACTCGTGAATTCAACTAAAACACAAAATTTGCCCTTTTCAAATGAAATTTCAGTAGAATACATTGGCCAGAGGACCAAAGGGAGTAAGTCACCAGAAAATGGACCTCCTCCATAGATTACACAGGGGCATTTTGGGGACACAAAACCAGAGGCTTTTAAACACCAGCTGGGTTCAATCACAGTTAAGTGAGACAAAGCTAAGTCAGCCTGTGCTGCTCCCCAGGTCATGCTTGGCTTTGCAGCACTGCGCTTGGTTCATCGCCAACTTATTCACATCTTTGCAAAGCTCACTCAGTTTTAACTCCAGTGGTGAAAAAAATCTGCTCAGTCAATTACTAGCAATGTGTCTGGGGCGCAGGTCCACCACAGAAACCACCTCCTTTTCCCTCCTGGCCACCGCTCTGCTCATCAGCTGGCCATGGCATGGGCAGGAGTGCTTGCAGTTGTGAGGATGGTGAGGATTTGGGGCTGGCTGCTCAGCCTTTGCTTCTTGGGGTACCGGGAACATCAGGAAATGCTGTTGGGAGGTGAAGATCAACCTGGTATGGCCTCTTTAGGCTGTCCCTACTGCCTCTATATATCTGCTCCTGAGTTCATGGAGGCAGCAGCCTTGGATGAAATTTCTCTGCAACCTGATGAATTTTAGACTGACCTTTTCTCTCACTTGTTTATGAACAAAATAAAGAAACCTATTTAAATTCAGCAGGCTGCCCTTAATTTCTCAGTACTCTAAGGTCACTTCCTTCCCTGGCAAATAATTGTCTTTTAAATATGTGAATGCCAGCGTATTTCTGCCTCTTCACTTGCCTCCTTTTCAACTTTCATGAAATGCCACCATATATTTTTAATTACCTACTCTCCAGCCCTGTCACACAGGGCTTCGGGACCTTTGTGCCCTCTCATTCCTCTGTGCTCCCTAACTTTCCAACCAGCCCTCCAAAGCTGCCGATCTCTGGCCGTCTCTCTGCTCCCCCCTGCCTTTGCACCTCCTTCCTCCTCTCCTCCTCCTCGCGCCCTTTCCCTCTCCCAGGGCAAGCAGGTTTTGCAGCATGGTGCCTCAGAGACCTGCTTTGAGTCAGCAGAAATAACAGCCCCTGAGCCGGAGCAGTGGCTGAGAAGTGGCTGTGGGGCTGCTGCCTCGGGCAGGCTGGGAGAGCCCTCCCCAGCTGAGCATCTGACACTTAGGGCATCCGCATAGAAACTGTGAATTTACATAAATCCCAACCTTTTTATCATCGAGTTCTGCTGTTACTGGAAGTTTCGAGGTTCATATATTTAGGCTTCTTTTGCCACATCCTCGAAGGCTAAAAACCGACCTTCCCTTTTCCTGTTTTTATGAAAGTGGAGAATCCCAAGTCATGGTGGACTTCGGGACTTCACAAACAAGCAGATCCATGAGCAGCAGGGCCGGGCCTTCTATAAAACTGTGTCTGTGGCTGGCCTCTCTACTGACTGATCGTTGCAAAGCTCGTATTGCAGACCTTTTACCTCAATGATAGCATCTTTCTGCTGAAACTGCCCAACTGCACCCACTAGTCAGAAATTAATATCACAGACTCTTCCACCCTGCTGGGTTGAAAAATGATCAGGGCTGGAAGGAATAGGGGCACATGCACAGCCACAGCCATGACACAAAAAAAAGACCAGGATGATGCGCACCTCATTTTTTGGGGGAGGAAAATGGGGTAAAAATAAACCTCCCTGCTAAAATTCCTATCATGTCAAACTTCATGTTTAGGTTCTCTCTTTCTACAGTAAGAGGTGAAGAGACTGGAGAATATTAGCTAATGTCAGCACAAAACATCTCATACATAAAAGTTACAAAACCAGCAGCAGCATATGGGCATCGAGTTAAATGCTGATTCAGAGATCCTCATACCTCAAGGAACGCGTTAGTCACTACGACAAACAGGAAAGCGTCCCATGGGGTCCCTGTTTCTGGTTTCCTCTTTTATTCTAGGCTTGCTAGAATAACTCTGATATGGGGCAATAAATCCTGGTCTCCTAGCAAATACCCGTGTTCTTTTTTCTCTAAGAGTGAAATGAAGAGATGAAAGCTCTAGCTGTCAAAATAAGATGCAGAGCACAATGTAAAAAAAAAAAAAAAAAAAAAAAAAAAAAAAAGAAAAAAACCTTTTTTTTTTTGACTTTCAGTGGGGCTTAACACCCACCTTCAGCTTCACCTCAGAGGGACAGTTAGGCAAGCACCCTCCTAGGGATTCAAGACCTTTATGGGGAAAGGAAAGTAGCTGGAAGAGTTTAGTCAAAAACTCGTTATGTAAAAAAAAAAAAGAAAACAAAAAAAAAAAAAAAAAAAAAAAACAAAAAAAAAAAGGAAAGAAGCCTTGTTCTTATTGACTTCAGCTGGTGCTAGATCACACTCAGTGATTAGAAAGGAACACCTCATTGCCAATTAATGAGTGATTTTAAAAGGCACCTGCTCTCTTATTATACTCCTTTTCTAGGCAGTACAGAGAGGTGCAGTTCAGAGCACAAGCTTTATGGTATGCTCTAAATCACCCCCTATAGCTGCCTATCTGTCTCTGTTTGCAAGAGGGGAAGCCTAAACAGGCTTTCCTAGGCTAAAGTTAGCTGTTGTGATTATTTCACCATTGCTGCGCTGGCTTTACTCCAGAGCTCATCTCTATGTTGGCGTATTACTCTGCCATGAAAGTGGTGCAATGCACTGGGAAATCATGCCCTGAGGTTAAAGTCTGCTTAGGACTGGAAGAAATCTACTGGAAGTCATATGCAAGACTCTGCACTCCATAAATAAGTAGTATATTCTGGTAAGTGGAGAAGGCCATTTATTCCATTAAATAAATCTCTCCTAAGTGAATCCTTGTTGAAGGAACTGCGTGTAGGTGGAACTGCCTAATGTGAATCATGTAACAGATTTCTGATGAAGTGCTCTGTCAATTATGAGAGCCATCTATTTTGATTTGGATGGCTCAGTGTTCAGGCTGCTCTTCAACATCCTTATGTTCTCCATGTGGTATTGCTATCATCAGTTATTTACAGGATGGCACAAATGCGAGTACTGTTTTACAATGATGAGGTGCATAATCTACTCTGGCATTATCAAGCTGTAGTATCTCCACTGAGAGCAGTGAATTTGTCTGGCTCGTTAGTCTCCGCCCCATGCAGATCCAGGAGCTGGATCCAAGGGGTGAATACTGACAATTTCTTTCAGGTCTGACACTTATTTCTCTTCAGCAGCCTTGACATTAGGTGTCTAGCCCTTCACCCCAGGCTCCGTCTGCAATCAGCGAAGACAAATAGGTATCTGCAGAGCTATTTATTTCACTTTACTAACAATAGAGGGAACCAGATGATATCTAAGACAAAATGTACAACTTTTGCACCTCTAAAGTTAGGCGAGACAAATTCCACTCTGAGTCAAAACATAGTGACCAAGACCAGCAGAACTGTGTTTCTCCTCACTGAGCGATGTCCTGGGCAGAATGTCCAAGAGTAGCGCTTCCCTCCTGACTTACTGTTTGTCTGGCTGGCAATTTGGGGAGAAAGCATTGTCATTATAATGGCTAAGAGAAATACAGGGGGGGTTCATAATCACAAAGATGGAGTTTTCCCTGTCTGAAGAAGTAAGCAGTTCTGCTGACTTTGAATTATTAACACTGATTTTTCTTTTTTTCCCCTCTTTTTAGGGTGAAGTCTTGGGCAGATGCCTTTGGTGGGGAGCTGTACTCCATTGTGACTAAGTATTCAGGCTCTCTCCTGTTGCAGAAGGTAGGCAAAAGCTACAAGGGTTCCCTTGGCTTCATATCACCTCCCCATGTAGCGCTCCAAGGTTTTCCCCTAGGCTGGAAGAAAGCAAAACACACAGGCCATCAGCTAACTTTCAAAACCATGCAGGTTCATATCCATAAGCACAGAGTGATGCCTTGTGGCCATTATCCATGAACTGGAGAGGGGGATCCATCTAACACCTTTCCTGCTTTCACTAGCCATGGCCAAACGCCACCTAAATTGTCCTATTTTTTAAAAATACTTTTTAACAGTACTCCTCATGTTTCCCCTCTGATGATCATTTCATGCCCTTCCATACTGACCCTTAACTCTTCCCTTCCTAAATGCATATCAGTCCCTCTGCTCCTGCCTATCACTCATCTGCTCGTTGTCACCCCATCGTCTGTCCCCTCCTGCAGCTCTCCAGCTGGCATTCTTGTTTATTTCTTCTTCCTCATCTGTCTTCCTCCAGTCACTCATCAATTCTTTGAATTGTGCCTTTAAAACTCTGCTTTGGACAGGGTTTCTGAGGCAGATGCCCTGGAAGCCGTGATCTTCCAGAGGTGCAGAGCTCTGCCTCCTTCATGCCTGGCTCAGGCGCCACTGCGCTAAACTCTGCCGGCATTAAAAGGTGTAGCCACAGGGGCTTTAAATAAGTGTTCCCATTTACAGCTGTAGAGAAGTTGCCCTGTTAACTTTGATTCCTGAAGTCAGGGGTGAATGGCTGCTCCTCTTTCAGGCTTGGTGAACTCTGCACTGCAGCAGCAGGGCGGCATGGATCAGCACCTCCCAAGTGCTGCTCGGGGGCCTAGTGGCTGCTGAGGGGGATGCAGTCCCCTTTCCACCTCATGTGGCTGTCCAGTTCCTTTTCTTTACTCTTTCTCTGATTCTTCTCTTTGACGCAAGCTGTACATTGCCTCTTGGACCTTTTAGGTGTCTAAATTCTGTCTTCTGTCTAGTAATAACACCCACTTGCCAGTGCAAAAAGGGATCTGGATATCATTTGGCTTGCCTTGCCCTTGGTTTCCCTGTCCCCACAGTGCTGCTTTCTGTCTGGAGGAAGGGAGCATCTCCTGCAGCACCACCTTTGCCAGGCTTGGCCAAGCATCCACCACAAAGGTCTATACTGACCATCAGCTCTTCTTAGGAGGAATGTGCCACCATGCAATAAAAAGTTGTCAGCACTGGTATAGGTACTTCATGCCCTAATCATGAGGCAGCTGTGGTGTGGTATTAATGCAGGGAAAAATTTGGCTTTGAGCAATTTTGATGATGTTTCTGCATTGCCTGTTCTTCTGTGGGGTCCCCAAATGGTAGTGCCAGAGGCAAAGTGACATGCTGCAGCATCTCTCGTGGGCACTGGAGCTCCGGTGGGCAGGAGATACAGATTGGGGTTATTTGATAGTCAGGTATTTGTGTCTGATGCTGTATAGGTATTTGCTGTCCAACAGAAAGTCTGCAGATACCAGCTTCTTCTGGAAGATGCAAAGGGTGTCACCTTATTGCGTGAAGAAATACTGTAGCCATTATGTTTTTTCCTTCCTGCTTCAACATAGCCAGCTTGTGCTGCTTCTGTGGCTACCTCTACTGGCAGATTAAGGGGGTTCACATTCCTTAAGGTCCGAAAATCAGTGGGACTAAGCAGAACAGGGCTTAGCTTGAAAATACCAGTGTTGCAAAAGTTAACAGTGGAGGCCAAGGATGGCAGATGCAGCACTGAGGTGGGTATCAAGACAGCTGTGCTGTGTTGGCCCTCTGAAGAGGTTGCACCAGGTCATTTCACCTCCCTCTGTCCACACTATGTTTTGACTCTTGCAATTTTGATCCCTTTGGAGTAGGGGTTATATTGAGACCTGTAGATGCTGCTATAGTACCACTAAAAATGACAGTCATGGCAACTAGATCGTGAACAAAAATTCACAACTCTATCAGCTTTTGGTGTAATTCACTGGAAGCAAAGAAAACTAATTTCTGATTAAAAAGAAGCCTGAATGTAACCAAATCCAATCTAGCATTCATGTCAAGGGGAGTCAAGGCAGAGTTATATTTCCCTGGTGGTCTGAAGCCTTATAATATAATCACACTTGCCTGCCCCAGTCCATGTCCACATGGTTTTGTTCTTGGAGAGGGGAAGGTGTCTGTTTTGCTCTTGCACATGTTGGGGCCTGGATGCAGCACAGACTGATTGTGCTTTGCATAGTCTCTGGACACCCCTGAGTGAGACAGTGTCACCTGTGACTCAGAGGAAAAACGTCCTTCAGTGAGTCACTGTCACCACTTCCAGCAGCGGGTACGGGCGAGCTTGATCCAGCCTTGCTCTGTTAACACTTCAGCAAAGAGTCATTTCCTAAATGCATGCCCTGCCCTGCCCTGCCCTAACTTAAGCAGTTTAAACAGCTCAGGTTTACCTTTCACCCCTCAAGTCCCACTCCTTGAGCTCTTTCATTTCCCATTATTGCCCTGGGACTGGGGAAATAGTCCCAGGGACACCCCTTTATTTCCCTGGGACCAGGGAAATATGGGAGGACTAGCCAGCACCCACTTCTTCAGCCCTTCTCAGCCTCCATTTCTTTATCAAGCACTGGGGCAGACACCTTCTCACATATCAGCATCTCAAAGCAGGGACCATCCTGGAGGTCTCCCTCTACATCGCTGACACTTGCAGTGCTGCAGAAGGACAGCTTCAGGAGGCTGCAGAAAAATCTATTACTAACGGGCAACATTTTCATGCCCCATGAGATGCACCTTGGCAGACCCTGAATGGTTTTATGTAGATCACCGCACTGGTCCAGACTGTGAGCAAGTCAGGCCTGGGGAGCCAAATGTACAAAGTCTGGAAATCCAGCCACATGTGCTCCCCAGGCACCTTTCTCTCTTTGGGCCATCGCCTCTTTTTCACATGAAATATTTCTGTGTGCATGAGTATACGCAGACCAGCAGAAGGGTGGGGAGCACAGTGTAGAGGCCCCGACAATTCTTTCCTCAGTGCTTGTTTAAGTCGATGGGCACTTTGCCTTTGAAGAAATACAAACTGAGAGATAACAGCACCATTTCAAATTTGACTTCATGTCTCCCTTGTGCCTAATAAGCTTGAAGTAACTAGCTTATTGTTGCTTCGAGAGCCATAACTTTTCAGTTACTGAATGTTTTGCATGTAAACTTTCTCTTCAATATTTAGCATAAATTTCATTTTGTGGTTTTGGGTCTGTTTGGATTTCTTTGGGGTTTTTTGTTTGTTTCCCTCAAAAGAACCCTAATATCAATTTGCAAACCCAAACTGTCTACTTCTTACCAGGATTTATTGTTTCCAGAGACCTGGTGAACCAGTAGACATCTCTTGAATCCACAAAGGCAGGTTCTCACCCTGGATCAGAGAGCTTTGAGAAAGCCCCTAGATCACTCTCTGTCCCAACCAGTCAAGATATCATCAAATTAAACCTCACAGAGGTAGCAAAAGCTGAAGAGTGATTTTGGTTTGATGGCTGAAGCATCCATTGTATTCTCTTGACCATTATGCAGCAGAGGTTAAGATAAGCTTGCGCACTTGTCTGGCATATCAGCCTGGCTCAGAGATGATGGATCTGTATTAAAATGCTGGCCAGGGTCTAGGACAGCTGAGGGAAATACAGCTGGAGCAAAGAGGCAAAGTGAAAGGCTTAGTAGGAGGAGGGCAGTAGCATCTCCTAGAGCTAAGGAACAGAGCGCTTGAACCTGTGGCTTGTTAGGTCTGTTTGCCACAGTCCTCCTGCTGCAGTTGGCCAGGCAGTGACCAAAGGCCTGAGGCCACTGACTGCAGCCATGCTGGGAGGACACCGTGGTGGTTCTGGGCTTCTCAGGGCTTGCCTTGGAGGGACAGAAATACCATCAGCTTCAGCAGACCCAAAACTTACTTTCTCTTCTACTACGTTAATGATGCATTGTAAGTGTTTCTGAGCATTACCTCCTGCTTCCTTCTGTAGCTGAGGAGCCGATTGCCTTCCCCAGTGGATGGGGCTGAGAAAGGACAGCAGGGCTTGGCTCCAGCTATGTAATTACTAGAAAGCACTACAAAAATAACTACATGGCAAAGAACAAAAAAATTAAAGTGCAGTCAAGACATTTTCCTGGGTGAAGATGAAAGGAATGTCTTTCACACTCTTAATATAGTTTCACTAGCAGTGAGTAATGCAACACTGTGTACTTCAATGGGCTAAATTTCATGGAGGTGGGAAGAAGAAAATATACTTGGTGACATATCTCTGTTCACAGATAAAACTTAGGATACTGAATCCTGGATCTTCCACTTCTAAATCACCACCCCCATCACTGTGGAAGGAGAATCTTAATGAATTGCTCCTGCTGTTTTAAGGAAATACTAAGTACTAGATGAATATGAAAAGATTTTCTGTTAGATCAGAGTTAACTTTGTGGCCCCTTTTCAATGTCAGATCCTTTCAGCCAGTTCTCCCAAGCCTGTAGCTGATTCCTGTTCTGTAAATTATAATGATCTGGTAACGTGAACCCTAAACTCAGGTTGTGCAGGTTAATCTTGGTCAGCTACAAGCACCTGTGTTGACATTTGCTGCGTACTTTCAGCCATGGTGTCTGGTAACAGTATTGAAATCACAGGTACGTCTCTGTTGTCCACCTTTGGGAACTCTTGCAGTGAATATTCATTAATAGCAGGAGATTTCAGTGGCAGGGATACAGATACAAAATGGTTTGCTGGATCATTTGTAGGGGAAAAGCTCAAAGGGGATCTGAGCTCAAACCTGGTGTATTCCTCGCAGCCAACTGAATCTTTGCAGAAAGTTTTTTGGGTTTTTTGTCTTCCCAGCTCTGGCTAGTTCCCAGGGCTGAGATGTGTATGGTATTTGCAGACTGCTCCTGATTACTTTTACCCTAATAACTTCTACTTGTCAATGTGTCAAAAGCACATTAAAAAATAACTGAGAGGTAAAGAGCCCTGTTTTTTTTAATTCAAGATATGACCCAAGGTAACCAATGGCAGGTCACTTTGTAAAGCGTGTGCTTGCCCGTGCTGGTGCGGTCCCCCCCCTTCACTAGCTTTCCCAGGAGAGATTACCCTCCTCCCCCCAAGAAGGGCCTGATTAAAGCCCAGCCTGGCAGAGATCACTTCCCTCCTGACAAAACCATGACATGGAGCTAAATGGGACAGGCACCAGCTGGGATGTGTGCTGTGGTCTTGTCAGCAGCCAGGGACCTCAGTCAGGGGGTGGCTGTTGCACATCCCTCTTTCGGCAGCATGCTTACGCTAACCTTCGTGCTCAACCCGACCTCCTCCTCCTCCTCCTCCCCCGCCTGTCCCAGCTACTCAGCCGCAGCAGAGGGGATGTGAGGCCTGGCATTTTTAATCCAGTAAAGCCCTTGCTGTTAATCATGCCAGGCAGAGCGAGCAGCTTCCCTGCCATGCCTGCTGCAGGCTGGATGCTGCTGCTATTTCTGTCTGACCTCCTCAGCCTGCCCCATCCTTAAGGCATTTCTTACTCTGCCTGTGCTCAGCCGCCCTCCTGGATGGTCAGTGAGCTTCTTGAACAAAAGGAGCTCTACTTGGTCACCCTAAAGACATGCAAAGTCGTCCCCCCCTCTACTTTCTTCTAATTCAAAAGTGCCACTAAACCCCTGCCATCCCCCTACCCTCTTCACTGCCTCATTTTGTACCGGCGCAAGAAGTCCAGCCCTGGCTGAGATTGCTGCTAGAGTGCTAACGGAACATGAAGATGGAGGGGATGTGCATACACTGCAGAGAGAAATTATGATGAAGGACCAGGAAAATTCGCACTTCAACAAAACACTCTCATTGCTGGGGAGATAAGGCTCTGTCTTTTCTGAAATAGGTTAATCATATTGTGTCCTTTTGTAGGTTTTTTTTTTACTCTTTCTTTCTGCCTATTTCTGTTAGCTTTGGGATTTTTTGAAAAGGAGATATAAAGGCCATTGTATCCAGTCTTGAAAGGGCAGATTTAGGGATGCAGATTAGTTACCCAGTTTGGGAGTACTCTCAGATTTTTAATGACTAGATCATATGAAATGTGGCCAGAAGAAACTGTTTATCTCTAAAGCTGTCAGACCCAATCCTCCTCGTTATGGCATCTCTCCCAGTGGAGGCAGTACTAAGTAGCCATGCTCATAATTCCTAGTTTCTGGGAAGTGCCTTTCTGCTGCTCTTGGCCCAAAGCATTCTCATGTGTGCTGAATAAGTAGCATCATAACTGTCTTGCTGACCTTTCCTTGGCAGTCTCTCACCTAAGCACTGAGCAGATCCTACTTGCTGCAAACTTGACAAGCTACCCTACAGATATGATGGTGCTGTGCGAGCACAGGACATGCACTAGCATGACATCTCCCCCAGTGGTGCCCCAGAGCACATATGACATAGGAGGCAATACAACGACAGCATACAGCTCCGTTGCCCTGCCCATTCCTCTGTCTAAAGTAAATTTCAGGTATCATCTGATGCATACAATGCTATTATGGATGTAAGCACAATGTGTATTTTAGGCTTTCAAAAGTCGGCCTTCTGCTTCTATCCCTTATTTTCAGGCATAAATAGGTTCAGGTACATTGCTGTTTTCAACAGCCACGAGCTCACAATTAGATCAGTTGCTTTTACTTAGTCAAAATGCTTCGTGTTATGGACAGTGATCTGCACATGCCCAAATTATGGGGTGAAAAGCGAGGAAAGGCAAAGATGGGAGAAGGTGGTAAAACAGACAGTTCTTCAAACACATCTTTCTCCACCAAAGGCAATACCCATCTAACAATAATAGATTCACCCCTCTCCTTACGAGTCTCCTGCTCAGCAGGATTTTCTGCTTTCCCTTGGGTAGAAGTACAAAGATGTGGAGCCAACTCTGAAGATCAAAGAGGTGGATGGCTTGGAGCTGGTGAAGAAGTTCTCGGAGCAGATGGAAAGCATGCTCCGCAGGAAGGTTGAAGCCGTTGAGGTATGACCACGGGGGCTATGGGAAGGAAGTCCTCTCCTGTCAGCCCCAGAGCAGTAGACGCAGGCCTCCCGCCTGTAGCAGGAGTGTGTGGGCGCAGGGGTTGTATGAGGACTTCCTTGCCCAACCAAATGCCTGCTGGTGCAGCTGGCTCACTCTGAGCTTTAAGTAGACACTGGTGGGAGGATGTGGGCGTTCAGACAAGGGAATGCTGGCTTCTCCTTCAGCCCAAAGTAGGAAATAAGATAAAAACAAAGTCTAGGAATAAATATGAGGGAATGAACACTTTTAGGAGAAAAGAGGCTTGATTCTATAGCTGTTTAAAGAGAAAAAAACCTCTCACAAGTGAAAATAAAGTTCATCCTTGCATAATGCCCTCTGGGCCATTGAAGACTGGTAACTTGTTTCGGATGTGTGTGTGGCTCAAGGGAAATTCCTGCAGCCCCTGAACGTGAGCTGCAAGGAAGGTGCTTGGATTTCAAGATGTGTACATGGGGAAGTGTGGAGGAGGTGGCAAGAGGTCTTTAGCTGTTGCTGTGTTGGAGATCAGAGCAGGTAATTGTTATGGCCCCTCTTGTTCCATCTAAGGATCTATCATATTCCCTTATATTTACCCACTATGAAAAGCATATTTCTGTAGCCACAGAGCCTTTACTGTTTAAAGCGTCTAATGTGGAAAAGTCATCCAGAAACACATAATTTGAATCTCAAAGTGAAATGTGGGCATATTTAGGCCCAGAGCTTTGGCCCATAACATTAAATTCATAGCCAGACTTTTCCAATGTTTGGATTGCCTTATCCTTTGTGAAGGAGCAAAAAGTAGTTTTGCTGAGACTGTCGCTGAAAACATGTACACATTTAGCTGTGTTCATTCCCAGTCTGTACCAATTGAGAATTAGTGCCCTGAAGCATCATATTGGAGAATACTAGTTGATTATATTGCCTTCCATAAATGGTAAGGGCTTATAAATGGCCACAGCATCACTGAGCCCTTTATGAAATCGAGTCATGGTCTTTGTCTCTGTAACAATACCAGACTGAGACTCCCACAAGGCCTTTTCCTTTGATGAGGTACTGACATCAGGCTGGGTCTGAAATGCCTTTCCCATGGCTTTTTGGAAGGGTTCACGGAAAATGAAAATAGATCTCTGGCTGTTGTTTCTCTAAATGGACGTGTTTCTGTTTGTATATGTCCTGTGATTATCTAAGATTGCTCAGGGGTTTAGTAGGGACTCTGGAGTAAGTGGGTGTGAATATACTTGGCAATAAATAGCTGTGAATATACCTTCCAAGCGTAAAGTTGCAGCACAGAATGACAGGTCAGCAGAAAAGGAGGGAAAGAGGGAAGGTTATAGCTCCGTGACTCTGTGTTGTGGTGAAGGAGGCAGTCATGTGTCTTTTCAGTAACTGTGTGAATGGCTGATACAGCTGGAAGAGCTTCTGGAGGGCTTTCCACAGCACCCCCTCATCTTTCTTTCTGTGTGCTTGCATTAGAGGTTGGTGGAAGCAGCAGAAGACGCAGATCTGAACCATGAGTACAACTCCTCATTGGAGGTAAGTTTCTCCTGGTCAGTGACAAAATATGACATGCATCCTCAGAGAGACTAGCCAAAAGGCAGGCCTAGCAGCACCCAGCCACCTCAGGTTCCTGGACAGGTTAGGAGTTTCCTTGTCTTCAGGACACTCAGCTTGTCTAGAAACTAGCGTGAGTAAGAGACTCCCTTTACAGATCCCAAACCTAGTAGCACCAAGGAGGTTAGTCCCTTTGGCTCTGGGAGGGGAAGGATTTGAGAAAACATTGGGTTGTGTGATGCTATTGGCATTACATTTACTGCACACCAACATTGTCATTATGTGACACACTAGTGCAAATTAGCTGGTGCTTTGTGGGTTACTTGACTGGAAAATGAGCTAAAAATTGAGTGTGTATGAGCAATGAGGAGGATGCTGTTACAAATACCCACAGCAAACCGTTAATCTCAATGAGCTGAGTTTCTCACCATCTTTCTCAACAGCTCCCATCATCTTTTGTCTAGCCTGCAGACACCCACTTGTCAGGACTTCTCGTTAGGTGAAAGTTTGGTATTGTCCAAGCAATTTGGATAACTGGCTTTCTGATAATAACTTTGTTGTAGTCAAGCTATGGGTTTATTGCCAGTGAAGGGAACTGGAGTGAAAACTCTGAAGGAAGTCCACTGTCCGCTGTACAAGCACAGAGTGCTTAGCAGAAGTACAGGCTATCCCTGCAAGTACACCTCTCCATGCTGGGCAAGGGTGGGAATGAAAACGCTTCTTGAAATCAAGCTAGTTACTGGTTTCACCTCTCCCACCTCTTTATTTAAGAATCATATTACAGTCATGCTAGTTGGGTCATAGAATCATAGAATCGTTTAGGCTGGAAAAGACCTTTAAGATCATCAAGTCCAACCATTAACCTAGCACTGCCAAGTCCACCACTAAACCATGTCCCTAAGCACCACATCTACATGTCTTTTAAATACCTCCAGGGATGGGGACCCAACCTCTTCCCTGGGCAGCCTGTTCCAGTGCTTGACTGCCCTTTCGGTGAAGAAATTTTTTCTAATATCCAATCTAAACCTCCCCTGGCACAACCTGAGGCCTCTCGTCCTATCCCTTGTTACTTGGGAGAAGAGACCGACCCCCACCTCGCTACAACCTCCTTTCAGGTAGCTGTAGAGAGCAATAAGGTCTCCCCTCAGCCTCCTCTTCTCCCGGCTGAACAACCCCAGCTCCCTCAGCCGCTCCTCCTAAGACTTGTGCTCTAGACCCTTCACCAGCTTCGTTGCTCTTCCTTGGACACGCTCCAGCACCTCAATGTCCTTCTTGTAGTGAGGGGCCCAAAACTGAACACAGTATCCACGTCAGCAGCGTTCACAGTAAGGGTCATGGGTGAGTTGAGGTACATGACTGTATTTGCACGCACAATTTGCACCCCATGAGTACTGTTAGTGTTTGAACATAAATCCTTAAATAACCTCTGCCCTCAGACAAAGTCAACAAAAACATCTTAAAAACATGTGTTATCCAAGGGTGAAGAGTGTCCTGAAGATACTAAAGTGACGGTAGATGCTAAATCCCCAGTGGCCTTCACAGGGGGAGAACTGCGTTGTCTTTGAGCACCTTCTGCTCTATCCTTTGCTCTTGACGAGTGCCTGCTGCGTGGAGTGACAGAGTGAGGGGATAATCCTGGCTGGATGTACATCAGGAGTTAACTGTAGTAAATGACAGCTGTAGAGACAGGGCAAGTAAGGTCAGCATCAACATGCCCTGTAGCAAACCTGGGAGCCAGACCCAGTGAGACACTCCACCTCTCTGGCTAGTCACTTAAATACCTCTGAGGGACCACGGGAGTCTGCCGATGTGTCCCTTTGCCCTCAGGTGGCTCTTCTGCTGCTGGTTATCACCATGCTTTCAGTCATCTGGGCACCTGACTGGGCAGAAACCATCATTTGGGCAGCTTGACACTTTCCAGCTGGTAACAGCTCTTGTTTGCTGTTCATCTTGATCCTATTTGAAACCCGAATTCTCCAGATGTCCCTTTTTTAGAGTGTTTTTTTCAGGCAGTACTGGTAATAGTCTGTGTTATACTCTCTTGTTGCCTTTGTCTTTTCCATTGTCTTCATCAATAGTTTGATTACTACAACTCTCTCCTGATTAATGAGAAGGATGAAAATGACAATTATGTGGAGCTTGGAGATGAATTCATTTTGGAGCCAAATGAGCATTTCAATAACCTGCTGGTGAACACAACATACAGTGATATCCAGCTCCCCACCAATGTCTACAACAAAGGTAATGGCCTCTACTGGCCTCTACTTTCTCACTACTAGTAGGTTGCTGTGGAAACTACCAGTAATAATACTGAAAGAAAGGATGGGAATAGAAAAAAAACAACTGACAGAAAAGAAAACAGGGCTAGAAAGGTACTGTCCCAAGGTGCGGTCATGTCTGTGCTGTAGTCTATCACTGTGACAGGGCTTAGGTATAATCTGCTTTTGGAAGACTTCTAATGATGGACAGTCCTCCAACTTAGGCAGGCAGTATATTCTCCTAGGGTTCATCTACCCAACCAAAGACGCTGTGAAACAAACTGTGATCTGAATTTATTGGCAATTGTTACTCTGTACAAAGGGTCAGATCCACCAAAGTTTTCAGGTGTCAAGGATCTCATTGATTTCAGCTGAGAATTTAGACCCCAAGTACCTTTGTGTTATGAAGCACTAACACCTCACAAGGACACTCTTAACTCCCAGTGAGCATATCCATAGGGGACTGGGGGTAATTCACAACTGCTACTGAGACATGACTGTTCTGGGCTATTTTCCATTCTCAGCAAGCCTTTGGCACTCTGGCAGCTGCAGGAGCTCAGGGAGGCACCAAGGCTCGCATGGCCTCATCTGTGCCCAGACTGCGTCCTCTCCCCCTGTACGTTCACACCACCCCAGCTACACACCAGAAACTAGTCCATCTCCAGGCTGGTCAGCACACTGCCAAATCTGCAGGCTGAGACACCAGTTGCGATTGTCCTAAGTTTAGTGCTCTCTTTGGCCAACATTTGAAGCTGCCTGAACTGGCTCCTTCCCTGCCTCCCCATCAGCTCTTCCCCTTGCATATGTTTTGGCAAGAAAAAAAAAAAAAAGCGCCATTCCTTCTTTCATAGATGGAGCTCATTTACAATCTTCAGGACCAGACGGGGCAGGCGCTGGTAACTGTGCTCACAACTGCTACATTATTTAGAGGGACAATAGAGGGAGTTCTATTTCTCCCATGATTTTAAATTAATTCCATCTGGTCTGACAGCCTTAGACACTAAAACCCTGCTCACAATAGAGACACCAGCAGAGCTGGCTGTGGGTAGCTACAGCAGAGCTACACAAAGTACGCTGCTGCCTACAGCAGCACACAGAAAGAGGTGGCCAAATGGCTGCTGTCAGAGACAGCAGAGAGGCACTGCCCAGGTAGCTGATTTCTTGCCTGTACATCTTGACACAAACCATCCAGCTGCTCTGGCTATGGCTGGAGGATGAGCAGCAGATAGAGGAGGAAGAAGAGGGCTGCTTCCATGCCCAGGGCTCCTCCTGGGAGAAGTGCCTTGCAGTACTCACTCCCTCTCTTGCAAAAAAACTGCAAGCCTGGCCCTCCACAGCTCTTCTGGCTCCCTTCCTGCATGAGTTACTTTGGCCTCATCACTGGGGAGTCACAGTTCAATTTTTCCCCTATTTTGACCAAAACTGCCTTTAGTAAAGTGACTAAACAGGAAGTGGTAGGTCAAAGCCCCATCCCTTTCAACATTAATACAGTTAATCCTACAATGACCAGTTTCTTTAATTCCCTGTTTCTATTGCTGCTGCTCTCTTTGGTCTCCTGAGGTGATGAGTCAACACAGACACCAAATATATGCTGCCTCTTATGAGTTCTTGCAAGTCTGCAACTTCCTATCGATTCTGATGGGATCAGGGGCAAGGGAGGACAGCTCAGACTTTGTGAAAGAAAGGGCAGGCAAAGAAGAAAAGAAAGAATTGTTGGGGAAAAGAGGAGAGAGAGAGAAATGGCATGTAAATCCTAAAGCTCCTCTGTCAGGTAATTACATCTCACATAAATTTAAACACTCTTTGTAGAAAGGCTGTCCCACTTAGTTGCCTTACAACAGCCACACATCCCCTTAGGCAGCAGCCAAGTCCTGCCTGTGTGGTGTGCCAGTTGTGCTCAGCACACTGCTGGTTTCCCTGGGTCTCTCGGAGCCCTCTTCCAACCCGATACTAATGCCCAAGGGCAGGCAAGGCTGGAAAAAGAAATGGGGATAATAGCGTATGACCAAGCTGAGATCACCTGTGGTGGCCAGCAGTGACCTTCTCTCCAGGATTTACTTGAATGATGCATCCAATTCCCTGTCCAATGTCAAAGCTTTGGACAAGACTGCATTCCTCCTGGGGTTGCCTTTATTTCCATCCCTCTCCTCCACCAGGGGTGGTGGGTGGCCTCCCCTCTTTTGCACACTTTTTTCCGCATTTTTCTATTCTTTCCCCAACAGACCCTGACATCCTGAACGGCGTTTACATGTCAGAAGCCTTGAATCCTATTTTTGTGGATAACTTTGAAAGGGATCCCACACTGACCTGGCAGTACTTTGGCAGCTCCACTGGATTCTTCAGGCTCTACCCAGGTAAAAGAGCAGAGATCAGCTTCGCTCTTTCAGCACAATGCAATAGTCTTGCAGGACAGGGTCCGTGCCATGGAAGAACCCAATCTGGGAAGGTTGGGGGCAGTGTGGGCCCATGAAGGGCAGGGTACAGCGAGCAAAATACTCAGTGTATGGGCTGCTGCCGCTTAGGCTGAAGGAATAGTGTCCACAGCAGGCATAAACCCCTTTTTCCCACGTGGACCGGCTCCCCTGGCATGTTACCCTTGCAGTCCCAGAGGAGTCTGCTTGTAGGGGTGTGCCTCGGGCAGGCTGCCCTCCAAAAGCTCACAAAACACCATGGCAGGACCTGCAAATCTCACAGGCGGGGTACGGAGGCTGCAGGAGGGCTCCCTGCCTCATGCTCCCCTGTGGTTTTTAGTGGTGGCCACAGCTTCTCTCCATCTCTGAGGCCACACGTGGCAGATGCAGCTGGTCAGCCTGACTTGTTATCCACTCGCCAGCTGCAAGCGGCATGTAAGGTCACGGCGCAAGAGGGAGGCCCCGTGCTCAGAGGAACCCATGAGATCCTCCGCAGCTGTAGCTTGGCCTGGTGGCCCCTTCATCAGATGGCTGCATGCCCTTGTTCTGTGACCTGTCACGTGTTGTGGAAGGGGAAAGCAGAGATGACTGTGAACAGAGCCTTTAGCAGGAAATCTGGGACACGTCCCTGTCACTGCTGCTGCTTTTTTATGCTCTCAACCGCCCTTGGGGAGAAAAAGATGTTGTTGAGAACTGCATCAAAGTGGCAGAAAGTTCAAAGTAAGTGCAATTGCTCCTCAAATTCGAACAGACCATGCCTAGGTACATTTTTTAATAGAAATTTAATAAGCAGTTTACTGAGAACTGCCGAAGACCGTGCAGCTCTGCTTGTGTTTCTGCAGAATGGCCACTGCTATTGCTGGCCAGACTTGCATGGCCCCGTGGGGTAGCCGGGTCTCAGCCGTGACAGCAGAAGTGTGGGTGCCTGGGGAGCGGGGAGCAGATGCCTGCCTGTCTGTGTGTGTTGATTGCTCCTTTTGCTGCTTCCTTCAGGAATAAAGTGGTTACCAGATGAGAATGGAGTCATCTCCTTCGACTGCAGGAATCGTGGCTGGTAAGAGTTTTGGAGAGACTTGGCCAAAGCACCTTTCAGTTTTCCTCTCTCTGCCTCTTTTCCAAGGTGACACCTTGGTGAGTTGCTGATCAGCAGATACCGCCCCATACTGCTCGTGTGAGAGATGAGGGGTACATAAACGGAAGCAATATCAGGTTAGGAACCCCTACCACCTGCCAGCCCCAGCTTTCCATATGGCATCTAACACATGCCACATGGAAATCACCACCAGTGTATCCTTCCTCTGTCTCATCCTCCTTATAATTCTGTGACTGGAGGGATGGGGCTGTTCAGACTCCAGAAATGCAGGGCAGTTACTCAGTCTACTCAGCACGGCTAAAGGAGGCTTTAGCAATTGTCGCTCTCAGGTGAATCTGGACATACATCTGCAGCAGGCCCAGCACTTGCCAATGTGGGAAGTGAGATGCTGGGGCCGGTGGGAGAGGCAGGTTGGTAGGAAGGGACGCATCGGATTCCCAGCCTGACCCTGCTGGATAACTGCGCTTGTGGTGCACGTTATGCTGCTGCTATCATCGTGTGACAGCAGCACGCCCAGCGTTCCTCCTCCCTGTACGCTCACCCTGCTTCCTTGTATTCTTTTTATAAAGGTACATCCAAGCAGCCACCTCTCCCAAGGACATTGTCATCATTGTGGATGTCAGTGGGAGCATGAAGGGCCTGCGGATGACCATTGCCAAACACACCATCATCACCATTTTAGATACCCTGGGAGAAAATGACTTTGTAAACATCATTGCAGTAAGTATGTCCCATTTTCAGTGCTGAGTTGTCTTCCTTGTGCCTCATACCAACCCTTCAGTCCCCTTAGCAAACTACAGGCATTACAGTGGCGTAACAGCAACACTTAGCACCTATGTTGGATGGGGGATTAAAACCAATTACCCTTGGGAAGTCAGCTTCGTGTGGTCAGCAGGGTGGCTGCTAAGTCATCTCACCCCCCTATGGAGGATGTCGGGTCCATCCTTTTGCTTACTTAGGGATGTGAACGCAACAGATAACAAAGTGCTATAGAGAGACACCTGAGCTCACAGGGACCGGAGGTCATAAATTCACCTAGCATAGTATAGCGTAATCCTGTGTTTGGGTCCAGTAGCGCTGTAATCCTCAGGATAATGTTTCCAGGCTAGAAAATTAGCACCATATGCCTTTTTGTGCACCAGCATCCTGCAAGGCTGCAATCCAGTTCAGAGTCAATCTGCACAGGCCTGCATGGAGTTTGGTCAGGTTGCCTTGGTGTTACTCTCTCCTTTTTTAAGCTCTGGCCAGGATGAGGATGGGCCGGTTACCCACACAGAACAGCACCACTCATCACAGAAAGCTAAACTTTTCCATGATCCACGCCAAGACTGGAGGGGTTGGTGCCAGGTTAAAGGCAAATGGCTACTCACCTCCTAATTTTCAAAGCTAATTCAAGCACCATCTCTTTCCCCAGGCTCCTTTCTATAAAAGTTTGCCAGGGCACAGTCACTAAGATATAAAGTCTACTTTTTGTTGATAGCTTCTTATTGTATAAGATAGTTAGAAACTCCAGTGGTGACAGCTCTGTCTTTATATGGCTGGATAGGTGGAAAAGTGAATAGTGTTGGCAGAAAAATGGAGGGAAATCATTAAGGAGTTTGAAATACCATCTGTTCTTTAAAAATAATCCCAGAGAGAGCATATAATACATATTCCTTTACTGTACTCACACCAAGAACCTACTGGCTCAGACACGTTATAGCCTGACCTAAGCACCTGTTGATCAGCTGAGCATCGGTGGCCTCTTAGCCATGCTCTTAGGAATTATGCTCTTCTGAACCCTGCAGGAAAAGGTTTACACTGACATGTTTTATCTCACATATGTATCAGGCTAGAAGCATACACCCCACTAATTATCACAGTTCGGTGGACGTGTGGTAACTTGATATGTTATCGTTCAGCTGTGTGCCAGAGGCATCAGACATCAGGCTACAAAACCACTTGCGAGGTTCAGCTGGTGACTGGGGACTCACAAAGTCTTCAGAAGTCAAAAACATGTGCAAATAGTGTTAGAAGCAAGGCCAGGGGCACAAGCTAATAGACTGGAGAAAATCTCTACAGTGTGAGTGGGGAACAAAAAGTAACTTTGTATGTGTAGATATGCCCAGATAGGACTCAGCAGAACACCATAATTCACGCATTATTTAAACAAATATGAGATTTATCAAAATTATAATTTGCCATGATCACTACGAGCAATTCTTAAGGGAAATATGTATAAAATGGCATAATGCTTTCTGAACATCCACCTAGGACGTGAATCCATTTTGTGAATTTTCTCCCATTACAACCCCTTTCTTTTCATTTTCTCTTTGCAGTACAATGATTATGTTCATTTTATCGAACCCTGTTTTAAGGGTATCCTGGTCCAAGCAGACAGAGATAACAGAGAGGTGAGTACCAGGCTCCTATCGATGTTATTCGGGTAGCTCTCTTAATGTAAGAAGTATATGGGGTTAAGGTGCTGTGACATGAAACTCCAGGGGCAAGGAACAACCATCTCCCAGAAGCACATGGGTTTGCATTTCAGAAACAAGCACCAGTTCAGTGGTGTGTGCTGGCTCTGTGGGTCACCTTTGCTTACACGAAGCAGCTGTAAGACGGGGTCAGCTGGCTAGCTAAAGAGCAGCAACCAGCTTCCCTGTGTCACAACAGACTCGGCACCACCCCTGCCAGAGCACGAGGGGACCTGGCCCAGACTGCTGTGGAAAAACAGTGCACAGAGGGCAAAGGTTCTCCATCTTTCAAACCCCACATCCTCAGCCCTCAGAAAGGAGAAAAACCAGCCCTTCCCTGGTGAATGTGTTCTCAGCCTGGCCTGATCCTTCGCCAGGGTGGACTGCCAGCAAGCTTCCTCTGATGAGGGGGTTTGCTGCCCTGATCCAGGAGGGCTCAGGAGCCCCGAGGTGGTCAGCCTGCGTCCGGCTGCTCCACTGCCTTCTGGGCTGACTTGTATTTTTAGCTCTTCTTACTGGGTTTTCTTCTTCCTTTTTCTCTCTATATTAATACCACAGAGGTAGCACATCCCTCCATGTCTTCAACAACCAGAATTCTCTCCAAATTTCTTTCCCAGCTTAGCCCTGGGTCACAGAGCATGACTCCAGAGGGTCATGACTCCTGCAGTTTCCCAAAGGATCCCCAAGCCTTTTGGACACTATCTTGTGGAGAGCACTGTCTGAGGGTTTCATTTACAACCAGATCAATGTCTCTCAAGTAGTAGATAAGCAGTCATTTTTTTTTTTTTCTTTTTCCCAATCCTGTTGCTCTTGCATGCACAGGAATGTTTTTGTTTTTTTTTTTTCCTGAAGGGGTGGATAAGGGAAAGTCTGATTTCTAATAGTTTTGTCCCTTGCATGGTGTTTCATGGACTGCCAATGGTTCACAGCCCACAGGCTGAGAAATGCAGTCCTGCCGTGGCTGTGTGGGCAAAGGTGCAACATGATGGCACTTCCAATGGAGCAGTCCCTTGACTTTCCCAACTCCATCCATCGTGGTACTGCACTGACCTGCCAGCAGTGGTGAAGGATCAGGAGCCCAAAGGCGCGGACTTTTCCAGGTCACCCTTTCCTCCCCTGGTCAAAGGGAGCACCCTGCCTGCAACTCATTGCTGCCCTTTTCCCTCTCTTCTTGCCAGCACTTCAAGCAGCTGGTGGATGAACTGCAGGCAAAAGGAGTGGGGACTGTGAACAAGGCTTTGACAGAGTCCTTCAAAATCCTGAGAGAGGTAAGAGAGTCAGTGCCGATGCTTGCGTCGGGCACAAGTGTCCCTGCCCACCCCTACTTTCCCCTCTACATCTAATGACTTAGCAGATCCCTCACAGTGCTGCAGGGGGGGAGGTCGTACGAGCTGATGTCACGGGCCCCAAATTTGCAACAAGCAGTGTGCAGGGGTGACCTGGCTTTGGGGAGGGAGCTGTTGGTTTGTGCATGATGCCCTGGGGCTGCTGATCCCTGCCTAGGAGGAATTAGGAGCTGGCAAGGCTGTGGCCTCATGAGCGTTTCCTTAACGAGCCCCACAACTGGGCATTGCCCAGGCACCTTGATTATAGATGGTGGCAATAAAATATAACTGATCAGCTGAGGGCAACAATTCTGGTCATAAGTAATGTTATTAGTGAGCCTTGATAAGTAGATGATGATGAAGATGTGAAAGACTCAGGCTTCAGATTTATTTCAATGTCACTTTGCTGAGTATCAGTGCTTGGGGAAGAAATCATAGGTACTGGTGAATTAATCAGTCAGTCTGATCATGTCTTGTGATAAGAATCATAAATGATTCATTGCCTTATATGAACAGTTGGGACTTCAGTAGCCTGGAGGTAAACATATGACTTAACTCTGTTTCTTAAGGAATGTTAACAAAAAAAGGACCAAGAACCAGCTGAACACCCTTACCTCCTCATGGCACTGTCTATAGTGGGGTTGGCTTAAAGATGCCAGTGCCTTTGGTGCTGACAAAAATACGTACATGGTACGATGCTAGTGGCCGTAATGATGGCATTGATGTTAAAGGTAGTGTGCTAGAGGTATTGACACCCTGGGAAGGATTTTCTACTCTTTCTTATTTTACAAATGGAAAGTTTAAGTTTGTCCGCTATGGTAGTGCGGTTCCTAATTCATGCCAGTGCAAGCATGATCAGAGTTGAACCCAGGAATGGTGGTAGCTGAGCTGACTTGTCAGTGGTAATAGAAGCATAATGGTTTTAATGGTAATCTGAGAAGAGTGTGGTGCAGCCTTGGCATTGCAGTAATAGGCTGGCAGCACTCCTAGTAATGGTTCAGCATCTTTGGAGGAAGGTAGTTCCTGAGAATAACCAGGAAAGCAGTAATGATATAAACCTAGAACAATTACACGGACTAGGTGCCTGATACAGATTTATCTACATGTATCCTTGCACTTCATAACAACATTAACTTTATCTTTAAAACCAAAGATCCAGAGCCTATATAGGCCTGTGTTGTATAAATCCGAATATTTATACAATTTTTCTACCAGAGGAAAAATGATTTCTTAGTATCTAATGTAGCACCGATTATGCACAGTGACAACAGATTAAAGAAGCCCAATGCAATACAACTGCAGACTCTCTCAACGAGCACAGCTTTGAAGGTCTCAGTGGAAAATAATGGAGCATAACCCTAAAGAAAGTCTGCGTACCCCAGCTGAAATAGCAGCCAGTCATGCCAGGCACAGACACCAAAACTGGTCTGGTTCCACTAATGAGGAGACCTCACGCCTCCTTTCTGGCAGGCACGGCTCACCCACTAAACTAGGCAATCCTCAAGCCTCCAGGAGGCAGGACATTTATAAAACCCTGCATACTTTAAGCCAGGCATGCCCACGGGAAATAGAAGGTACATGGTGGAACAGCTCCTCCACTGACATAGCTGGACCAAAAATACGTCCAGAGAGTGATGTCCATGCAGCCCAGTAGACTAATGTAACTCAACTGCAGTAATAGAGAAGAAATTCTTTGGCAAGTAGAGAAAATATTTTTCCTCTCTATTTGGCATCAAAAATGCAGTCAGCAGTTTAAGTAATCATCACTTATCTTGATCCTTGCTGATTCTCCCTTGGCTAAGGAGCTCAAAACAGCTCTGAGATTGCTCTTAGACAGTACAGCACCCAGCAGTGAAAAAATCTTCTGATGTTATTCACTCAGAAGGTGAGGTGCTGCTTCCTTCATGCCTTTCGTTATCACCTCAGATCTGGGGAGAGGGCAACTGACTCCGGCATTTGAGCATCTTTCCCTTGAGCATCTTCAGATGAGGAAAGGTGGCTGTTGTCTCAGTGACTGCTGGTGTCACGCTTCTCTGCATCTTGGAAGCTGCTGTCCATGAAACAGGAGTTCAGAAACAGTAAATTTATTGTCAAAAAGAAAGGTGTGAAACAGGCCTATATATCTCTCCCACCCAGATTTCCTTTCCCAGTAACACTGGTTGCAGCTTTCTCACAGCATCATTCACTGGAGCATGGACCATGATTGCCTCCTCTTTAGCAAAATGGGACCTCAGTCCAAGGTCACTGACGCCATCAGCTGGAAGCCTTGTTCGCAGCCAGCTGTGGGACAGCTGCATATGCAGCAGGAGGCCTGCAGGACCTCCTGCAAGTCACTCTGCAGCTTCATCCCACGATTGCTGTCTGGCGGGTCACATTCAGAAGAGACAGAGATTGTGTCTCAGTGCACACGCAGCAGCGCCAGAGGCTGCACGTACATAGAGACGTGCAAGTGTAGAAACACACCTGTTGTCCTGCAGCAGCCTTCCCCAAACTGTAGCTTCCCTGGTAAGGGCTCATGTAGAGAGTGCCTTGATATCACCAGCTGGAGGATCCCAGACTCCGCCAAGTACCACAGCTTAAGGCAAAAGGGTACCACTTGCCAACTGCTTGTATGCTTTAAGGACTCTCTGAAATCTTCTCTTAGAGCTTCTTAGATCCATATCAGTAACAGGGGAGGAAAAGTGTTTCCATCAGTGTGCCCTGAAACAAATCTGTGCTGCTGCAGTCATGCAGGTGGGACAAGGGGGAACTTCGGTGGAATTGGCCACCTCCTTCCTGTCAGACAAAATTCACATTCTCAGCTTGTAATCGTAGCCGTTCCTCACAGACTGTCCTGTTATTGTTCACAGGAGCATACGCAAGACAATGAAAATGAAAATTGCTACATCACACTGATGAAACAGGCTTTGCTGATTACAATAGACAACCAATAATAATATCTGTAATGAAAGTGACGGCAAAATTTCCCTGGTAATTTTCCTCAGTCCAATTGCTCATAGAATTAATAGCTCAGTAGAGACCTACTTAATGAGGTATGAGTAGCAGAGAGGGGCTGAAGAAGAGCACAATCTCTCACTGTCTTTGTTTTCCTCCATTATGTTCTGGGGTAAACAGGGCATATTTTAATCTGTGACGCAATTTGCAGAACAGCTTCAGAACAGTTAGCCAGAGCCTCCCCTGCCCCTCTCTGCCATGCTCAATAAACCACTTAAACTCTCTATTTCAATTTAGCCACACACCAAGTGGTTTCGATAAAATATGTGTCCTAGGGAAACCATGGTCTTAAGCATACATTTATAAAGCGCTTCAAAATTCTCAGGTGTCAAGTGCTCTCTTTTGAGCTCCTTTCTTGGTTATCAAGTTTTAGTCTATCTCACTGCTATCTTCTTTGTTTCAATAAGCTTGGCACGTCTTGTTTTCTCGCCCTTTTCCTGTAGGATTTATACCCCTTTGTTCTGGCTGCTGCTCTGCTCACGGCCGCTTCCAGGCTGTCTGCCTGCCCTGAAACACCATCCTCCCAACAGTATGTAAGTGCTGCAGCTGAGAGCTATCAAGTGCTAAGCAGAGCAGAATAATTACCTTTCTTGTTTTACACACCATAGTCCTCTTAACACAACGTAAGACAACAGCTACGTTTCCTCAGACACTGTCACATTGTTAATTCAAATCCAGCTGATCTGCCTCTGCGGTATTCCTTTCCAGCCAGTATTCAGCCTCCTGTTCGGTATTTGAGCCTCTGACTATCCTTTCCAATGTATGTCAATTGTAAAGATGTTTATATATTTTTATAGACATGCCAACTATATGTGTGTACATACATTTATATATACACACACATACGTATGCAAACACACCCCCCTAATCCTAAGAGAGTCTCATATATATATTCATATATTTGTTACACATGAAGGCTTAGCTAGTACAAAATCTGTGACTTTTATGGGTCCTTCTTTCTCAGGACCTGCTCAGAGTAAGTAGGTCTTTTGAAAGCTGATGTTTTTCTGACCCTGTGGAGGAAAAGAAACCCCAAGTTCTGTTCTCTGAGGCCACCTGGGAATGATGTCTCCTCCTAACACCAAGCTAGTTTAATGGTGCCTTGACTCACTGCTGAACTCAGAAATGACATAAATTTTGAGGTTAATTATGAGTAGGTCACTCCAAAATGGCTATAGGTAAAAAAACAGTGAAAACTGGTAACAAACGGGATTTCAGTGAGAGGTAAAATTCTGTGTAACTTGAGCAAACTGGTGTCATGAAAAGAATGAACCCATCTGCTGACGTGAGTAATCAAAGGAGTTTGTGGCCTCTTATGCCCCACCTGTGTGCGGAAGAATTTAATTTGTGCACTCACAAGAGGACTGTGTTACTAATTTTTCTAGCGACATGCTAGATGTTTAAGGACAATTCACCTATCTAGTTTCCTCCCTTCTTGTAACACGTTTTCTGTTGATTCCCTCTTCATCCTTTGGGATCTCCTACAGTCCCAGTCAGGTCTCATCCCATGAGGCAAGCAGTTCAGCAACACCTGCAATTCTTTCCCTAAAACAGTGAAAACTGGTAACAAACGGGATTTCAGTGAGAGGTAAAATTCTGTGTAACTTGAGCAAACTGGTGTCATGAAAAGAATGAACCCATCTGCTGACGTGAGTAATCAAAGGAGTTTGTGGCCTCTTATGCCCCACCTGTGTGCGGAAGAATTTAATTTGTGCACTCACAAGAGGACTGTGTTACTAATTTTTCTAGCGACATGCTAGATGTTTAAGGACAATTCACCTATCTAGTTTCCTCCCTTCTTGTAACACGTTTTCTGTTGATTCCCTCTTCATCCTTTGGGATCTCCTACAGTCCCAGTCAGGTCTCATCCCATGAGGCAAGCAGTTCAGCAACACCTGCAATTCTTTCCCTTCCTGCTG